CCCGCCAATCACCGCCCGCCTCAGCCAATGCGAGCGCCCCGCTGGCGGCCACCGGCTCACCCCCTACGCAGTTCGGCCCCAGAGCGCTGGGGGCGGGGCTGAAGGTTTCAGAGCCCCGCCCCGCCCCCTGCTAATGTTTACGAGCGGACGCGGCTCGGCCACGCCCCCTCCCAGGCCCCTCCCCCAGCGAACCTGTTCCACCTGCAAGGCCAGGCCTGGGTCTCTGACTCAGAGCAGCTCCCTGTCCTGGGGCTGTCAGGTGGAAACTGAGGCCCGGAGCCCTTAGTGACTGTCCAGAGCCGAGGTGAGGCGGAGATTCCGGACGGTTCCAGAAGTAAGCTCCAGCGCAGAGCACACCACGTGGGACTGACTTGCTCACACTCATCAGACGGAGTGAATGGCCCCCAGCCTGTGCAACACTAGTGCCAGAGAACCCACGCGGGGAATACAGGAAAGTGGAAAGCAGAAAAACGCCAAGACAATTTGGGGATAACTGCATGCTTAAAAAACGCGTTTTGAAAGGCTGCCCCCTGGGTTCTGGGATCCTCCAGGGGCTCCCACACGCCATGCGGAGAACCAGCCGCAAGACGTAGCACTTAGGGGTGGCAGTCATCGCTTCCGCGTCTCTTTCCCCTAGAGGACAGGGACTCTGAGTTCATCTTTGCACCCACGCACAGGCCCAGATAAATGTTTATGAAAGCATTAATCATTTTAAACAATCCCGTTTCTGGACATTTGGGTTGCTTCCTGTTTCCTGTTTTTCTAAATATCCCACGAGGAGTCTTCTAGAGACCAGAACGGGGTTTGATTTATGGCTTGTTCCTGGTTTGTTATTCTGGGCGAGTTCATTAACCTCCAACCAGCAGCATCAGCTGAGCTGCTTAGAAACACAGACCCCATCAGAACCTGCAAATACCTGCATCTCACCTGCACATCAACGCTTGAGAAGGACCCAGCTGACCTTTTTGTAAAGCCTCAGTCCTCCTTCCGTTAAGTATATGAAACAGTGAGAACCAAACATGATCACTCTTACTACTCTGGGGGCAGCGTGGTTCAGGGGTAGGGAACCTTCCATGCAGGAGACACGGGTTCAGTTCCTGGTCAGTGCCCCTCACCTGTCTGTTGATGGAGGCTTTCATGTCCCTATGATGCACTAAGGAGCTCTGGTGGCACAGTGCCTAAGGCACTTGACTGCTAACCAGAAGGCTGGCAGTTCAAACCCACCAGCCACTCCTCGGAAGGAATGTTGGGCAATCTACTTCGTAGTGATACCGCCTCGGAAACCCAAGGAGGGGTCGCTGGATCTGACTTGACGGCAGTTTGTTTTTTGTTTTTTTTCTATAATGCACTAAGGTTCGCCTGACCCAAGCCATGGCATTTTCAAAAGCCTCATATGCACGCGAGAGCTGGACAATGAATAAGGAAGACTGAAGAAGAGTTGATGCCTTTGAGTTGTGGTGTTGGCGAAGAGTGCTGAAAATACCATGCACTGCTAAAAGAACTAACAGATCTGTCCTGGAGGAAGGGCAGCTGGAATGCCCCTTGGAAGCGAGCATGGCCAGACTTCGTCTGACCTCCTTTGGTCCTGTTGTCAGAAGGGACCATTCCTTGGAGAAGGATTTCACACTTGGTAAAGTGGAGGGTCAGTGAAAAGGGAAAGACCCTCAATGAGATGGATTGACACCGTGGCTGCAATGATGGGCTCAAGCATAGTCAGGATTGTGAGGATGGTGCAGGACCGGGCAGGGTTTCAATCTGTTGTCCACGGGGTCGCTGTGAGTCTGAGCCGACTCGATGGCCCCTGACAACAGCAGAGCTCCCCACTTTGGGACACTTTGCTTCAACCATCAACAGGCACTGGGACAACGAGCTACTTCTATGTTCAGGTCTCTCACCTTTACCGTCCATCCCCTCCTCTCCTTTAACTCGGGGACCCTGGCAGGCGGGAGACTCCCCTGGAGACCAGGCCAGCTCCTTCACTCAGAGGCTGGGTGCAGAGAGCCTCTTGGCACTTGGCAGGACATGGCCGACTTGCACTTGGTTGTCCACAGAATGAAAGTGGCCTTCCACAGGGGGACCACATGGCACCCGATTCCAACAAGGAGCAAGGTCATATCAACACTCGGAATGTTGACCCGCGACATTTTTGGAGCCACAACAGGATCCATCTGTCTGCAAAAGGAAGAACATGCAGGACGTGCCAAGACCCAGAGAGGAACCATCTAGGCCTGTGCGTGGAACAGACTCAAGGAAACTCCCGTCTCACAGAGACAGTCAGCCACCACGGTGGGCTCACGGCAGGGCCGGGACCCCCAGCAGGAGCTAGTCCTGAGCTGTGGCTCTTACGTAACCCGGGGGATTTGTGCAGTAATTGGTGAGGGCTGCAGGACACAGCTATATACGCTCAGAAAACTGCATCAGCCTGGGGTTGGAAAGCAGAACCTGCCTAAGTGAAAGCCTGACTTGAGGGAATGGGGCCTGGGCAGAAGTTAGTGTCCCAGCAACACCTCTGGTTTGGGGGCAAGGAAGACATAAACGGGTCTGACTTGGGGTGTGTCTCAGTCTCCCGGTGCCGCTGGGACAGACACACCACACGTGGGGGCTTTCAGGACAGATGTTTGCTCTCTCCCAGGCCAGAGAGCTGGAAGTACGACCTCAGGGCCCTGGCTGGCGGTTAGAAGAGCTGTGCTGTGGTGGTGGTGGTTGTTGTTATGTGCCATCTAGTCCACCCCTCCTTGGGTTGCCGGGGCAGTATCACTACGGAAGTAGATTGCCCAACCTTCCTTCTGAGGAGCGGCTAATGGGTTAGGGCATTTGGCTGCTAACCCTAACCGAAAGGTTGTGGTTCTCCACGCCACTGGCATGGAGTCGATCCGACTCATGGTGACCCCAGGGGTTCCCAGGACTGTATGTCTTCACAGAGGTCGTTTGCCTTGTCGTTGTCGTGTGGAGCAGCTGGTGGGTTTGAAGCACTGACCTCCTGGTTCTAAGCCCAACGCCTTACCCACTGGGCCACCAGAGCTCCTCTGGCCGGGTCCTGTCTCCCCCTATCTGTGCTTCCTGCTCCTGGGCCTGATGGTGGTGGTGGTGGTTGTGTGCCGTCAAGTCGGACCCGACTCATAGCGACCCCTTCTTGGGTTTCCGGGGCAGTATCACTACGGAAGTAGATTGCCCCATCTTCCTTCCGAGGAGTGGCTGGTGGGTTTGAACCGCCAGCCTTCTGGTTAGCAGTCAAGTGCCTTAGGCACTACACTACCAGAGCTCCCACCTGGGCCTGATGGGTCTCTTCAAATCTCAGAAGTGAATCAGTTTAGGCCACACCCTACACTGACATGGTCTCATTAACACAAGAAAGAAAATATTCCTGAATCCAATTGCATGCACAGGCAGAGGGGTGTGGATTGACAGCACAGACTTTAGGGGTGTAATTCAATCCACAGCAGCGTATGTGGGGAGGGTGGGGCAGCGTCACCATTTGCTTTAACACGTCTAAGGGGATACTGGTGTATCATGACGATGGGGACCAGAGGGCAGCAGACTGAAGTGGAGCTGGGGGCTACAGGAAACGAGCAAGAAGCCAGTGGAGGAGGGGAGGGACGTGGCAACAACAGGACATGCAGTGAGGGCAGAAGGGGCGGGGCCAGCACAGACCCCTGCACACAGCTTTCAGGCCATCGCCGATGGGCCCAAGTTTCCACAGAAGCCTGTGAGACTGGGGAGAGAACTGCGACCCACTCAGATGGTGTTCACAAGAGACAACCACAAGTGGTGACAAATAAAGGTTCTGAGTGGGAACTTCATTTCAACATTTGCAAATGGAAATTCTTAAGCACAACAAAGTGAGAAGTTAATATTGGATAAACTATTCCAGGCAGACAGCATTCAGTGGAATAAAGAAAGCCGTTATGTAACCGTGCTAGGCGAGCCGATACACAGACCCGCCGGCCATAAACGCCGACCGGCAGGCTCTGCAGGGAGGAAGGACTGCCTCTGCTCCCCATAGAGCCAAGCCCCACGCTTTGCTCTTTAAAACTGAATGAATGATCGCCCTGTGCAAGGACCTTGTAGTAGGTTGACTGAAACCCTGTTGCTGAGTTGATTCAGAGCCACGGCAACCCTAGAGGACAGAGTAGAACTGCCTCACAGGGTTTCCAAGGCTGTCATCTTACTTCCGTAGTGATACTGCCCCGGAAACCCAAGGAGGGGTCGCTATGAGTTGGGTCAACTCGACGGCCCAGAACAACAACAACAACAACATCTTTACAGAAGCAGACTGTGACATCTTTCTCCTGTGGAGGAGCTTTTGGGTTTGAACTACCAACTTTTTGCACCAGGGCTCCTTGTAGGTTGACAAGTTGCCCTGAAAGAGACATGTCCAAGACCAACCCCTGGCTTCTGTGAATGTGACTTCATTCAGAAAAAAGAGTCTTTGCACAAACAACAACAAAACCCTCTGCTGCTGAGTTTATTCCGACTCATAGAGACCCTATAGGAACAGAGTGGAACTGCCCCACAGGGTTTCCAAGGCTGTAAATCTTTAGGGAAGCAGACCACCACATCTTTCTCCCCTGCAGTGGCTGGTGGATTGGAACCACCAACAATCTGCTTAGCAGCCAAACGTTTTAACTGGCCCACCAGGGCTTCTTTTTCAATTTGTGTTGACCAAAAAATGAAACCAAGCCCATTGCCCTGAAGTCTATTCTGATCCACAGCGCCCCTAGAGGACAGAGTGAAACTGCCCACAGGGTCTCCAAGGCTGTCAATCTTCACAGAAGCAAAGCCCAAACCACGCCCACTGCCGTGGAGTCCATTCTGACCCACAGCGCCCCTAGAGGACAGAGTGGAACTGCCCACAGAGTCTCCAAGGCTGTCAATCTTTACAGAACCAGGCTGTCTCGTCTTTCTCCTATGGAGTGGCTGGTGGGTTTGAACCACCGATCTTTTTGTTAGCAGCTGGATGCTCTAACCACTGTGCCACCAGAGTTCCTTTAAGTTAAGCCTCTCTAGATGAAACCATCTGGGATTTAGGGTAAGCCCTAAATCCAATGACAAGTGTCTGCAGAAAGCAGAGGGCGACATGAGACATGGCACACACGGATGACGCCATGTAAAGATGGAGCGGAGATTGGAGCGATGTGTCGCAAGTGCCCGAAAGCACCAGAAACTGAAAGCCAGGGGAGGGCCGCCTGGAGAGCCTCGGGGGAAAAAGGGCCCTGCCGATACCTGACGGTGAACTTCTGGAGTCCCAGCCTGGGAGAAGATCAATTTCCATTGTTTAAGCCGCACGGTGTGGGCTTTTTTTCTCTGGTGGCGTGGTGCCTAAGGCACTTGGCTGCTAACCAGAAGGCTGGCAGTTCAAACCCACCAACCACTCCTTGGAAGGAAGGTTGGGCAATCTACTTCCGTAGTGATACCGCCTCGGAAACCCAAGGAGGGGTCGTTGTGAGTCGCGTCCGACTTGACGGCATGTGACAACAGAAGCTGCACGGTGTGCTTTTGCACAGGCCTCCGACAAGTGTTTCTCATCCCCACGACGGCATCCGAACACATGAAAGTTGGTGGCGGTGGCCGTCAAGTCAGCCCTGATCATGGCGACCCCAGGCCCACACGGCC